CAAGATACTTCACTTTTGTGAGGAATTCTTCTCTACCACAATGCAAGGCAGTAACAAAATATGAGATCTATAGAGTCCCTTTGCATATATGAATTTATCTTAACTTTTCTGCTCTCTAAACAGCAGCTCCTCTTGCACAGGAGAATTTTCCAAAATTTGTGGGCAGTTTTTCAGTCAGCACAGGAACTTGCTTTTAGGAGGAAAGAAGGTTCTCCTCTGCTTAGGGCAAAGCCCTTTGGACTCTGGCCATAATCTATGAGCTTTCACTAGCCTCGCATGCAGGGAGATAAACCCTTCTAGTGTATGTATATATCTATCACCGTAACTTTATTTATGTCCATGCCAGTCGAGTCCTACCATATTCAAGTGACCCGGCTATAAATACGAGTCAAAGCTGCCACTGTATATTTATATGTAATTAAATTAGGCAAGCTTCTAGCCTGGCAACCTTGACAACATTCTTTCAAGCTGGCCCTTTTTAAGCTTCCAGTTACGTGAGGACTCCTTGCAAAAGGTTGCAGTGATATAAATCAAAATGGTCAGCAGGCCAAGCATGAAGGTGCTCAGAGACCATCTCGCTGTGATTTCTGCGACAAGACCTTCTCTCTCTGGCTCATTTGTCATTTCCCTCTGGTCTGGGAGGGCAAGGCCCTGTCTGCCTTCAACTACAGTATAGCGGCTGCTCTTGCCGCTGCAAGTCCCCAGAAGGCACCACTCCATTTGGTGCATCTTAAGGGAACAATCGGTGGTGGTGAAGTTTGAGAGATTAATACACCGTTCCTTTTTAGGCCACTGCGATAGGCTTTTAATTGGTTTAAACTGACACTTTTTGGGGTGTTTTCTTGTTTCCTCCTACCAATTATCTACATGATTTGAGTCAGATAATGGAGGGCCTGTTAGCTAAATTTGGAGATTTTTGGTGATACAGTTGTACCTCGGGTTAAGAACTTAATTCTTTCCGGAGGTCTGTTCTTAACCTGAAACTGTTCTTAACCTGAAGCACCACTTTAGCTAATGGGGCCTCCCGCTGCTGCCACGCCACTGGAGCACAATTTCCGTTCTCATCCTGAAGCAAAGTTCTTAACCTAAAGCACTATTTCTGGGTTAGCAGAGTCTGTAACTTGAGGCGTCTGTAACCTGAAGCGTATGTAACCCGACGTACCACTGTAGTCAGGTTTTACCAGGTGCACAGGGAAATTTTAATTCTGAAGGGAGGAATTCCACATTGTGCTTTTCCAATAGTTCCATCTGTGCAAATGTTTCAGCTTGCCCAATGGAACCTTATAATTTCCCCCCATGTTGTAATCCGCCTTGAGCCTTGCTGCTTAGGGGGGGGGGTGCCCCACCTAGCCTCTTTATGTGTAAAGAAGGGAAAAGTTGGAGAATTTACAGCCTTATATAGTCATGCAAAGGCCATAGCTGTCAACATTTCCCCCCCTTTTTTAAAGGAAATTCCCTTATTCCGAATAGGATTCCTCGCAAGAAAAGGGAAAAGTTGACAGCTATGTGCGAAGGTCTCCAGCCCCTCCATGCATACTATTTACCCCCTGAAAATAGCGCCAGTATTCAGCCCACTTTGATCCCAATATCACTGAAAATACCTCCACCAAATACTTCAGCCCAACACAAGAAAGGATGCATCTAGGAAATAGTCTGAACATTTATTGTCACAAGTGGTCCAGGTGCCTTATATATTCACAAGGTATCTGGCAGCAAGCCAGTCTTTACTTTGAAACATACAAAATGACAAGCAGAGCAGATATAAAATAGCTAGCTGACCTCCACTTTGAATGAAGAACAGTATACACCTACACCTATTTTCAATGCAAACTAAAGCAACAACGAAAACATATACCTAGACAATGTGTCATCAGGGGATGAGCAGGCAGGTTCAGGAAAGATGAAAGAAGTACCTTTTTTTAGATGATGCTCAAACATATTCAATATGCTTCTTCACCAACTCACATAGTGTACTTCTCTTTCATTTTGAGATTTAGCACTCCAGCGATCTTATTAGGATGGGGAAACAGAACCAGTGTGCGAGAACAGCTTCTCACACTTATCCTGGATCGTCACGAAGCTAATGCTCACTGGGAGGGTGTGCTAACATTTGAAGGGGAGGCCCATAATACCTGTGAAAATAAGGCCACCACGTTCTTTTCACATTAACTGTGAAAAGGCTTTCATGTGCATGGAAATATATGGATAACCAAAGTTTGATGCTACTGTGCAAATTTACTCCTATGTTGTTTCACTTCCCTCAGTGAGTTTTACTTACACGATCTGGGATGAATGAAACTGAGCTTTCAACGTGGGTGGCAAACTTCCATGAACGTACAAATCTCACCTGCAATGTGCAGCTAGCAGTCAAAAATTAATATTTTTGTACTAAGTTTAGAACACTCTGATAAACTCCCTGGAATCCTTTCAACCCATCCCTAAAGACTACTTATTTCTAGAGTGAAACTGTATACATTTCCCACAGGTTTTCTACAATAAGTAACTACTTGTTTATGTAGAACGCAGGGTTTTACCACTACCTCATATCAACATTATGGTTCTCTTTATCTGTTTTTTTCCAAGTAGAAAGTGAACAGACGTCTTTCACACTACAGTGGTACCTCGGTTTATGAACTTAATCTGTTCTGGAAGTCTGTTCTTAAACCGAATCTCTTCTTAAACTGAGGCGTGCTTTCCCTAATGAGGCCTCCCACAGCTGGTGCCCTTCCACTGTTCGGTTTCCATTTGTAGACCGAGGTAAAGTTCACAAACCAGGACACTACTTCCGGTTTTTTGGAGTTAATAAACCAAATCGTTCGTAAACAGGACTGTTCTTAAACCGAGGTACCACTGTATAGCTTTTTCCCCAGGTATTCTTCATGTGTAGAATCTACATGCTTCTTCAGGTGGGGTCTGTGCATTGGCACAGAATTCTGCACAAGGAAAGCTGCTCAGGTGTGGAAGATTCCTATGCAAACATCTCTGCACTGAGATGTTATCTGAGAATTTTCTCAGTGTTACTTGATTCTCATTTTGGGTTCAATATGTAGGCAAGCTAGAGGAAAAGAGGTCCATAGTTCATGTGTAGGTGTTGCATGTTTTGTATGCAAGGTGTATCAGGTTCATACTCTCCGTGCAATGTTGGCAATTGCTCCTGTCTGAAACTCCTGGAAAGTCCCTGCTAGTCAATGTAGACAGTAGGAACACAGTGACAGAGAAAACCACCTTATATTGAGGCAGACAACTGGGCAATCTAGCTCAGTATTGTCTATATTGACCAGCAGTGGCTCTGCAGAATTTCAGACAGGGGACACTCATAGCCCTACTTGGTGATAGGGATTGTCTGCATGCAAAGCAGATGCTCAGTCTCTGAGCTATCACCCTTCCATGATAACCGAACTAGGCAGTTTAATGGTCTGATTTGGTTTAAGGCAGCTTCCTACTGACCTCATAAAAATATATGAATCTGATTTATACCAAGTCAATCACTGGTCCATCTAGCTCAATGCCAGTAACAGCTCTCCAGAATTTGGGATAGGTGTCTTTCTCTGAATTACTTAGAGGTGCTGGGAACTTTTGCATGCAAGTAATTTGTGGCATTCAACTTTATACTCAAAGTAAAACCACTGAAATTAAAGGGCCTAACTTAGTCATGTCATTAACTCCAGTGGGTCTACTCTGAGTACACCCCATTTGCTCTACCAGTAACACTGAGCTTTAGTCCTTCCCCTAGTTCCTTGCCTTCTCTTCAGTATCTATAATTTTTTGTTTCACACTGTGCCAGTGGTGTGCATCTGGAAATGTTTCTTTATTCTAAATCTTATTCTTGTGGTGTAAAGGAAAAGAGAGATGCTGGAATTACAGTGGTGCTTTTGAATAGCTCCTCATTTTACAGGCATCTTTGCATGCTTAACATGGTCGAGGAAGATCCATTGATTTTCACCAAGTCCATTCACAGTACATAAGGGTAAGAACAGGCACAAGGATTAAGATCTAATCTCTCAAAATCTGAACGTTCAGGTACAGTACTCCTGAAGGAGAGTGCCTTTTGCTTTTGACCTCTGAGAGTTTTGCAGCAGCTGCTACCATTGCTAAGTAGCATCTTTATTCCCATCCTCTTATCTTCCTTGTGCTTAGGCTACTTCAGACCTACAATCCATAGCAAAGTTTGCATGTTCTGAGGATACTAAGGAACAACTCACACAGGCCTTTTAGTCTGCCAGAAACTGGGTTAGTGTGCTTGTGGGGCACGAGGTGAAAATTGCCACCTGAGAATTTCAAGCTAAGCACAGATTGGAAGCAGTGTGTGCTTCTGGTGAGGATCCTTTCAAGACCCATTCTCCACAAACTGAATAACTGAAACAGGTCCTGGTGGGGGTCAGCTGGGTTCATACCACCCAATCACCTAAACATTTGCTGATAAGTCAGTTCCATTATAGCAGCAGGAATCAGTGACCCTCCCATTAGCTCCAACTTGCATGGCTAATGGCCAAGAGTGATGGGAGCTGTGGCCTATCAATATCCAGAGGACTACAGGTTCTCCATCACTGATGTACAGGATTATAACCCTAGGCTGCAAACACCAACAAACTTACATGAAGGTAAATTCCACTGAGCACAGTGGGACTTGCTTCCAAGTAAACATACACAGGACTCCCTTGTTTGGCTGCACTTACCCAGAAGTCAATCCCATTGAAGTCAATGGGACTTTCTTATGAGTAGACAAGTACAAGGTGGTGAATTTGATCTTTTATATGTGTATCCCTATTTTTAATTGGGGCTGAAAAATGCATTGCCATCTCAAAGCTTTGTAATGAAATGATTAAGAAACTGAGCCAGAAAAATCTCTGGTTCAAATCTTCCTTCTTGTTTCGAACTCTTAGGGAAAAAACAAGTAGCTGCTTTCTATTGGTTCAGACCACTGGCCCATCTTGATCAGTATTGTCTATCGGCAGTAGCTCTCTAGGGTTTCAGATAGGAGAGTCATCCCCAGTCCTCTCTGGAGATGCTGGGGGATAAAACCTGGGGCCTTCTGCACGTAAAGCAGCAGCTCTGCCACTGAGCTACAGCCCTTCACCACTGAGCCTATGACTCAGTAGACCCTAAGGCAAGCTCCTGCCTTTCAACTGCAGCCTCCCATCTGCAAAACATGGACAAATGTGGTGACCTACTTACAAGCCTGTTGTGCAGACTACTCAAGATAATGTATCTGAAGTATACTCAAAAGTGCTATGTAAACATGAAGTTGTGGGTTGTTGTTTTTTGCTTTTTTAATTACTATTCTGGCTGGTGCCTAAAATGTGAAGTCTGTCTCTTTCATGATTACAATATGACAATCCTCCTTTTGTATGGCATTCACTTTGGCACCTCTCATTGCCAATAACTCGACTAGGTACACTGCACAAGGTCTGAGCAATGAACACAGGAGAAAAGGGAAGCATAAAATGTTCTGCTTCTAAATAATCCGGCGAAACTGACGGTGCACTCTAATTGCAGAGACTGGGGTGGGGTTGGAGACACACACCCCAAATCACCCTTCCAGAAGTCTTAAGCTTCTGGAATGAATTCAGAAACTTCAGTATTAAAATAACTAAATGTCTATTTTATAAGGCATATGTAGCCTCCCTGGGTGGGCATCCACTCAGCTCCATCTCAATTTCCCATAACACTTTCACAGCTGGTACTTCCTAAGACATGCCAGCCTGCCCATTTAGAAAATTGAAGCGAGATGTGCAAACTCTGTGAGCCTTTTATATCAACATTAGCTTCATGTGGGCACATTTTTATGGACCTTTTTAGCCAGCCACAGAAAAAAGGGCTTTTTCTGCATTTCTCTTATGGACATTGGTGACAAATAAAAATGCAGCCAGAGAATCATTCTTGCCATTTCTGAATCACAGCTAAGTGGAGATGAGGGAGCCTTGCTGAAGAATTGGATGAGATCAGCTCTGTTTGCAAATGTGGTGTATGAATACGCACATGATCAGGAAGAATTATTGCATAAAGAAGAGCAGCAGCTTTGCACTTTTTAATTAAGTGGTATATCACTTAGTTGTAAATAAAACCTCTAAGTGGTGTTAAAGGGGAATTATTTTATACTGGGGCCCAGACCTATGGAATCCAAGCTCAACACACACAGAGAAATACAATAACAGTGTAATGCACCACCAAGATCTACTGGGATGAGGGAATTTAATGTAGCAGATTTGGGGCTTTCCTGGCTGAGCTGGATTCAGCTGGAAATGCATCAGCATTAAGTGGGGTTCAGCCAGCAGAACTTATACCAACCTAAGTTCCCAAAAAGGGCATTCTGAGTGTGTGGCAGGGATGGGACAGGGCAAGGAGAGATTTACACCTATTTCAAACCCTTTTCTGCTGGGTCACATGACCTAGCAACTCAGCAGAACTTAGCCAGCAAATAAAGATGGTTAAGTCAAATTCCTCCTGAATTAAGCTTGGCAAGAGGGTAATTTATGCCTGTGCAAATTTTGCTGGCACAGACTTTCTATGGTTAGAATTGCTCTTTAAGAGCCCTGAACATAACAGGAGTTACTTCTGACTAAACTTGCATAGGATTGGGTTCAAAACACAACACAAAACAGGAAGCAGAACATCAATTACTGTCAATACCAGCCTAGGGGACTCAAAAGGGTTTCACTTTGTACATAAAATTCTGAAGTAATGGCTTGGCATGTCTCCTGTGAAGAAAGTCCTAGTCCTACAGTGGCAGCACAGAGAAAATTCAGCACCCTCTTGGCCTGCCTCAGTGACACAGGTGGCTTCTTCCAATATGTGATGCCATTGGAGACAGTGAGTGGATGAAGGGGCCAGTCACCTGGGCCTTCCCCAGAAAATCTGTAATCCTTGCCAAGTGCTTATCAGGTGGGAAAGATTCAGGCAACTAGCTGTTAATTGGCCTCTCTCTAAGACTAAAGATCTGCCGCCTGTCCAACTAGACCATGCTGACCTAGATTTACAAATTGTTGTCCTGGTGAGGCATCTTGTTGGATTCTCTGCCTCAGGTTCTGAAATAATTTGGCTGACCTTGGGAACTGTGCATGAGGCACAGGGAATTTTGGGAGGAGGACATGTCCAATCTGCTCTTCCATCTCAGAGAGCAAAATGTCCTGGGCTGGCCTTGAACTTGAATGAGCACAGAGCGACAGTATTATTTGCGACAGTATTCAGAACCATACTGTCTTTTGTTTAATTAGCATAAGTTAAGTAATTTAGAAAATACAAAGCTTGCTAGCTATCCTTTCATAGTTCTTTGAAAATGAAAACTTCCCCCTCCCACATTGTTTAACACAGAGCCCAAATTGGGTTAGCTTAAACTATTGTCTTTCCCCATGACAGGCTGTGATAAGTCTGTATTGGTATGCATACTGACCCTTCGCATATTCATTAAACATCTGTGAGATTTGTGCCTCCAGAGATCTCTTTGTTTCTAGACCAAAAGAAAATGGATACTTAAAACATATGCAAATTCTTTATGGACTCAAAATACCAAATGAATTCCCAACTATCTTGTAATGTATTAGAAATCCATAATCATCTTATTACACAGTTGCGTCTCATGGGAAGAAATGTAGACCACAATTAATGAAGCTTTGTCATTCTCCGTGTAAATAAAAACTAGGATTTCATACAACCTCCTTATGAATTAGCTATTTCAGAACATGCTCTCTTTTTCCCAATGGGTGTCATCTTTTGGAATCAAAATCTGTTATAAACCCTCTGAAATATTCAGGAGCTAATAGTGGCTAATGAAGTGCTGGAACACATTCCAAAATAATGGCAGAAATGTCCCAGCCCTTTGTAAATGCTTGGATGAGTCTTGTGATCTCGTTCATTAATCATGTGTTGAAATTGTGCACTTAGTCTTTCTTCCTGTTGTACAAGTTAACATCACCCATTCAACAAGTATCATTTGTTAAACTAAAACCGAAGAAGAGTTAATTGTGCAAGTTTCTGTGTCACTGCTGTTTACACCATTACCAAGGGGGAGGGGAATGAAGCAGAAAGATCAGCAAATAGGGGAAAAAATATTTCCAAGGACTGGTAAAAGTATGATATTAATTGAGGTTTAGCAACATATGGCATTGTGGAACTACATCTCTGAATTTCTTATTATGAGACAGACAAGAAACAGTCCTCGGCTTCTGAAATTTAGAAGCCTCCCACATCCCTATGAGATGGCAGGTGCCCACTCTCTACATTTAACAAATTAGGATATTGGCAGATTATATGTCTAAATTAATAAAGTCATGGCTCATCTTTCAATCTACAGTGATACCTTGAGTTACGAACGCCTCAGGTTACAAACGCTTCAGGTTACAAACTCCGCTAACCTTGAGTTGAGAACTTTGCCCCAGGATGAGAATGGAAATCGTGTGCCGGTGGCACAGCAGAAGCAAGAGGCCCCATTAGCTAAAGCACACCTCTAGTTAAGAACAGTTTCAGGTTAAGAACGGACCTCCAGAATGAATTAAGTTTGTAACTAGAGGTACCACTGTATTTACTGTTATGTGTCTTCATACTTACATTCCAGGTTCCTATGCAATATTTTTCTTAACAGCATTGGACTTTCCTTTCGCTTCCAGGCATATCCGAAACTGAGCGACCTTTCAGCTCTGAATCTACTTGTACTTGCAGAACACAGCCATCCTGGGTTTTTGTTGTTGTTTAGTCGTTTAGTCGTGTCCGACTCTTCGTGACCCCATGGACCAGAGCACACCAGGCACTTCTGTCTTCCACTGCCTCCCGCAGTTTGGTCAAACTCATGCTGGCAGCTTCGAGAACACTATCCAATCATCTCATCCTCTGTCGTCCCCTTCTCCCTGTGCCCTCCATCTTTCCCAACATCAGGGTCTTTTCCAGGGAGTCTTCTCTTCTCATGAGGTGGCCAAAGTATTGGAGCCTCAGCATCACGATTTGTCCTTCCAGTGAGCACTCAGGGCTGGTTTCCTTAAGAATGGATAGGTTTGATCTTCTTGCAGTCCATGGGACTCTCAAGAGTTTCCTCCAGCACCATAATTCAAAAGCATCAATTCTTCAGCGATCAGCCTTCTTTATGGTCCAGCTCTCACTTCCATACATCACTACTGGGAAAACCATAGCTTTTACTATACGGACCTTTGTTGGCAAGGTGATGTCTCTGCTATCAATAGCCACTGAAATTGTATCACTCTCTTTCATCTTCAAAACTGCCACATACATGCAGTATGATTGTTTGTGAATGTGGTTATCAATCCAATCATGGGGTGGTGTGGGATTACATCTCTGTTTATTTATTATGAGGCAGACATATGCACGTGCTAAGAGAATAGTCAACTACATAACTCTTTGGAACGTAAACAAATTTATTTGGGAAGCAAACAAGATATTTTGCTCCATATAGAGTTGTTTTTTCATCCCCTCATCTGTCTTGAGGCAAGGCCTACATCTCTAAAAACCTTATTGGAAATGAAGATTAACTCTGATGACAGATGTACTATGTATTTATCTCAGCTAATTAGCTATGGAGTATACTTGTTAAAGAAAAGCTGGATGCTCTTTTGCACTGGAAAATGATGAAGTGATGATGTTTCACAGCTTTCTTAGAAATTGCCGCTTTCTTTATTAGTTAGTCATGCATGAAAAGGGAAATATCGCTAATTAATTCCCAAAATGCCAAAATTATGAAAAGACAAATCTCAACATTCAGCGTACCCCCAAACAGTTTGGTTTTGCCACAGATCTCTTATGTTGGTAATGCTAATGCACATTTCTTTGGTCCCGTGTTATAGCAAGTGTTCAGAGAATACACATATGTTGTCTCAGTAATCCACAAGACCAGTCCTACTGTTAGGAAGAGGTAGAAGGCTATATCAGGAAATTTATTTTAGGTGTCATGAAAGGACAGCAAACTGTTTTTAAATTTACTATTGTTCTCTTTTTACAAGCCAGTCCTTGTGGGATTTTCTGCATCAAGTGCCAAAATAATTTGGCATGCTTTGGATACAGCACAACTTAACTTGTGTGTGTTGTGTTTTTTAAAAAACAACAACAACAACAACATTTCCCACTCC